CTTGTAGATTTTTAGTAGGCTCGGGAGAGAGAGTTTACTCAAGCAATAGCAGTAAGTATAGTAGAAGCGAGTTTGAACTACCATGAAAGTAAGTAAGCAAGGAATGTGTGATCAAGGTTGTCGCAATGTGGTTCGGAAGCTTCCAATGATTGAGGGGGCCTCCTCATCCCGATCAAAGTTGAGAACCATGGTTGGTATTTCATATGGTCTTCTACTTTGACTCGACCCCATTGTCCTTTGACAGTTTGTTTATGTCTGGAATGGCTGTTGGAACATTTCCCCTGACAACCAAACAGAAAAAATTGTATACATTCTCCCACCATTAATGGCGAAGAGTCTTTCCCCTTTGTCAACCAAACCAGCAGCATCTCACGTGCTAACGACAACTACTACTTGTTTTAGAAGATGAAATTACACTCGTTTCTCTACAGGTGATAATATATTATGTTTAGGGGGTTAATCGAGATAAATTATTTGAATTTGGTTTAGATAAAATTCGGCTCGAGTTTGACTCGTACTCTAAACGAGTTAAGTTAGAATAATTTTTTAGGCTAGTTTATATATAAAATAATCGAACTACTCGAACTCGAGTTCTAAACAAGCCTAACTTGAACAATATTTTAGGCTCATTTAAAAAATAAACTTGTTAGGCTCGGGTTAAACTTGTAAACCTCGACTCAATTAACACTCTTAATTATGTTAACTCTAAGGTGCGACTCTAGTGATAATAGAAACAAACTGTAAGTTCAGACGTTTTAAATTCAAATTTTAACAATTTTTTTGGTCTCAGTTATGAAACAATTATTACTCATGAATACTTTACTCCCAGTATGGATGACCTGTCTTTGATTGAACTGGAGAGATAATTAGTCGAAGTGCACATAAATTAATCCGGACACCACATATTATTTATTTTTTAAATGAGATTAATATTAAACTTATACACGATTACAATATGTCAATTTGAATGGTGGGTGGTGTTAGTGCTTTGGACGTTTTTTTGAATTAAAAAAACACATCTATGTATGAAATCATGATAATATATTAAAAAGAAAATTCGGCTTCCCGCAGTCCTAATCCCCGTTTGCCGACTCTCGGCCGTCCCAGATTACTTGGCATATTTGATGTTCTGACACGTGTCCATGTATAAGTGGCTCCTTAATTTGTATGTTTCAAATTAAAGTATTTCCTATTTAACAAACTGAAAACTGTAGAGTTTGGGTGAGTGTGGAAGTCATGGCCTGTGTCTTTGCCCGTTAACCCATGGCGCAATGGGTAGAATTAACCCGCAATGCCATATCATTATAGTCCAGTGAGTAGAATCGTGGATCAATGGTTTTGCCCCGTCAAGTTTGATGGACTTGTTCTGATGGCTATGCTAGTGCTAGGTGTGCAACTCGGGGGTTGGACTGGTTGAAAGGTTAAACCTACTTTAACCTTAAGTATATAATTCACAATTTTTTTTAACTCTAACCTTAATTTAACTCGAGGTATTTAATCTGAGTATTGTCCAAATTTAATTCGGGTAGACTTGGGTTGAATTCGGATTACGTAATTCAAACAAATTTCAGGTTAAAATTCGAATTCAGTTCGAATTACGTAATTCATGTTAGAATTTGAGTTGAGTTCATCGAGTTTGAAATCTGTCTGTTGTTTTAAACTTGGTACATACTATATAGTATTTACCTAAAATAACAATCAATAATTTCAATCAAATGTTTAACATAAAAAATATAGTATTTAAAACATAAAAATTAATGTTTAACATAAAGACACAATAACTAAATGTTTAACAAAAGACTGAACTAGAAGATTGATCTCTAGTGTTTTAACTCATAAGATTTATTGTTTTATATATTTATTTTAAATAAGTTCGAGTTGAGCCAATTTAAATATTCGGGTTGAGCCGATTTAAATATTCGGGTTGAACCTAGTAACCCGAAACTTAAATCTGAATATTACCCAAATTCAATTCGGGTCGGTGTTTTTTTGTCCTAAGTCCAACTTAAATATTAAAAACTTCAACTCAAGTCTTGTTTTTTCGAGTTTGAATTCAGATTGGCGCCCAAATTATACCCCTAGCTAGTTCCCTGCCAAAATTCAAATAATAAACTTAAAAATATAAATTCATTAGGACTGATTTAATAAACATACCATGGTTGTTGAATTAAGAACCAATATGCAAATATGGACCGTTTGTTGATGGTCCGGATTGTCCGAGTATCTTTGACTTTTAGATTTTCCGATACCCATCTTAGCTAGACCCGTGATATTTAAGTACCGATAGACAATGCTATATTTAGTACATAAACATTTTTTGGAAATTAAATTTTATAAATAATTACGAGTTAATCTTGATTTCAACCATAATTACCGTTTTTTTTTTTTGCAAATTAAAAAAAGGCCCATTTGGCTTTGTGGGTCAGCATTTCACGAGGAGGAAGGGAAGAGAAGTGTCATCCACCTGGCAAAGCCATAAGTTGCTGGGGATCACAATTCAAGTAAAATGACGTCACAGGTCGATCTGATATGAGCGCCCTATCTCTTGACAATTAACACCACCAAATTGACGGTATTACCCCCTCAACACCCGTCCCCAACGCCCAAAAAAAAAAAAAAAAATCAATGACACTTGCATTTGGTATATGAAAATAGATCACGGGAATGCAAAATTCATTTTTATTATTATAGAAATATAGGATTAGTTATTCCTAAATATAGAGTAATATTATCCATAATTAGGGGTGTTTACCCTATCCTACCCTACTGGTAGGAAATATAGTCTTTCGTCTTTCTACCTAATATTTTGCGGAAGAATTTTTTCTTAACCTGTCATACCCGATTAATCGGGTATGAAGTCGAGTAGAAAATCGGGTAAACACTTTTATAATTATTAATTTTTGGATTATTTTAACAATTCAATTAAATAATATGCACAAATTTAATAACACAATAAATCAATAACACTAAAATTTAAAACAATTACAATAAAATATAAGAAAGTATGAACATCAATTTATCATAATTGTTATACAAATACAATAACAATTATTTTAAATTTAAACCATATAAAACACATTAAAATCATAACTGCTTTAATAGATCACCAGTTCATCACAAATTATATCACCTACAAAAAAAACAAATCCATGTTTTTGCAACTCAAACATCTACAATATTTATAATATAAATTATACCACACACAATACTCTTATAATTGCTAAAAAAATCATAAAAAATTTAAATGTATTTTTTGCGGGTAGGGTAGGAATGCGAAAATTGATGGGTTATTCCTCATTCCTACTCGATTTAATCATAAGACCAAATTTTTTTTCATATTTCTATCCGATTTTTGCGACTAGTCGTTCAGTAGGATCGAATAAAGTAGAAAATTGCGATCAATCAGAATTTTGAAAACCCTCTATCCATAATTATCATGCTGCTTAATGATAAGTTTAAATTCATTGAGACCAAAACACCTAACCTCCCATCCCGATCGTTACAATTATCTCTATTATTACCATTATCACCACCACCCAATCCCACTTTCGCCATTACTATGGTCATCATTATCACCACAACAATAGGATCCTTTGAATCCTGTGTTTGTGGTCCAGAGTTCACGTCAAGTGTAAAGGTTTTTAGGTCTAAGTCTAAAGTCGGTAATTAGAGTTTAAGTTCTAGTTCTAGTTCCGGTAAAACGTAATAAGATATTGAATTGAAAACTATCAAAGTATAATTTAGCCTTTGTTGTATTACAAACAAGTGTTTGATTGCTACTTTGTTACAAACTAAAATTTATGGTCATAAAGCACTAATAGTAATATTTTGGTGTGATATATAAAATCTCTATCTTAATTTATCTGAATTTGATATTAAAAATCACTTTATATTAAATTTTTATCTCACCCAATTTTGATATTACTAAAAACCATCTACTAATAGGTTCACTTATTTTTCTTATATTTCAAACAAGTAATTACATGATAGGGTTAGTGAAACTTGTAGAATTTAATTAGATGGCATAATATATTTTATTTAAAAAAATCAAAATTTTAAAATTTTTTTAAATAAAGAAGAATAACTTATTGAGCAGTCTCTACATTAATTATTTCGATTTATAAAATAGGACGAGTATAAAGATAAGGGTACAATACCACCAAAATTGTTTTGATTAATTTGTTGTTATTGCTTGCAAAAATAATAAAATAATATAATAAAAAAGATATATATAAAAAGGACGAGATTGTCATTTCAGAATCCAAGCAACACCGTGTAGTAAAAACACGAGCGCCCGCATCAACAGTCATCTGGCGATATCTGAGAAATCAAAAAGCGTTCTGACCTTTTCCGTCCACTTTGCAATTCCAGACCGTCTTCTCTCTCTCTCTCTAAATCGTTTAGGCCTGAAATTTGAAGCTCTAAGTATCTCCCAAACCTGTAAGTTCCTCAATTTATGTCTGTAATTTTCCGAATCTCTCAAATTTTTTTTTTCTAAAATAGGAACCAGTTCAGGTGATTAACTGCTAATTATTTTATAATCGAATGATTCGTAGTTTTTCTTTTCAAATTTCAATTCACTTTCAGTTTTTTTTATCGAATCTGAACTCATTTCATGGGGAATTCCTATGCATTGCATGGTCCTTGCACTATCAGATCATAATACAATTAAAGTTCCACTTAATGATGCCAGACTCGGTAGTGACCAGCTGTTTGTTTCTTTATCTCGCTGGATTCTCTATTCGCAACAAAATTCACCTCGAGCTTCTAGAGGAAGAAATGAAAGATGGAATTATTAGATTCTAGCTGTCTGTAATTTTTCGTCAAAACAAAAGGAGCCCTAAATTTTCTGTATTTTTCTTTATACATATTATGCTTGGGGTATTTATTTATGCCTAATCGTGGGTATTTGTTGCAGAAAATTGAGGGGTTGGTGAGTTAGAAGAGATTTGGTAAGTGTTGGGATAAAAGGGTCTTGAAGGAGAGATTGGTTGTGGAAAATGGCGTGTAGGGGGTTTTTGGAGTGCCTATTGAAGCTCCTGAACTTTTTGTTGACTCTTGTGGGTCTGGCCATGGTGGGTTATGGGATCTACCTGTTTGTGGAGTACAAAAGTGCATCTTCTGATGATACAACTCCGGCACCATCAAGTGAGGGGTTTGTGCAGCTTGGTCGGCCCATACTTATGGTCTTGTCTCTTTCAAGCAGCAGCATTTTCGATAACCTACCCAAAGCTTGGTATCATTCCTATTTTTCTGAAATTAGTCTGGGTTATTGTTAGTTGGGTTGATCCTGATTCCTAAATCCTAATGTATAACTATTTTTATAGTTAATTGTTGAATTTGATTTCCAATGGGGCTGGGTTTTCGTGCTTAGATTCTTTAGTTGTTGAGTTAAGCACTCTTCTATGCTGCATTCGATTGCTGAAAAGAGGATCATCCGTATTTGTGAAAACTAGGAAAACAATAATGTTGTGGTTGTCTTGTAATTCACTCCTTGTAGAAAATTGGTTTAAACTTTGTTCTTTTTAGGGATTTAAAAAGGTTGATGTCTTAGAATTTCACTTCAAGCAAAAGACCAATTAGAAACCCTATTGTATTAGACCATCTACAGACCTTACCCAAATTTGAGTTAAAAAAAGGGATAAGAAGCTTGATTTGGTATAGACCTTTTTAATGGACAAATTCTTTTTTGTACTCAAATCTTTTTAAAAAATTACCTTGTTATCCCAATAGCTCTTTTTTAACACGAAATATGTATAGATGTATACATTTTTTTCGTAATTTATAGATTCCTATATGTACTATGATTGTGACAAAAGAAGAGAGAGAGTGTGTGTGTGTTTACTTGAAGAGTGGTTCACCGACAAATACAAAGTTAAAGCTGCGTGGAAAGAAGAGAGCATATTTTTTAGTGTTAAATTTTTGGGTCTAAGTTTTGAGTTTCTTGATTTGGGTTTAAAATAGGGTCTCCCTTCATTTGGTATAGGTTTGAGTATAAGACTGAAGAAAGTTTTTGACCTCTTTTTACCCTAATCTAAATTTGAGTCTAGAAAAGGGTAAGGATTGAAGATACTCTTAGGAGACAACCTATTTTGGGTCTATAAGTATATTATAGACCATTTAGTTTATCTTGGGGATTTTGGCCCCCAATTTTGGGCATTTATGTTTGGTTTTATTTGTTGATTAAAGAATTTTGTGTAATCTTCCTTTGTTTATAGTGAAACTTTGTTGTTGCGTTTCGCCCGTGGACGTAAACTTTTGAGCCGATCCACGTAAATTTGTGTTATGTATTTTTTTTTTTTTTTTCTGTTTATTTGTTTGTGGCTTTTGTTTCATAACAAATTGGTATGAAAACTTTGGTTTTGGGATGACTACAATAAAATTCAAAGTAAAAAATTTTTGGTAATTTGAACAATTTTAGTCTACGACAGATCTAGATACATGACATTGCAATGACTGAATTGTTTGACGAAAATTCTTTATGTGATACTTAATCAACGTTGATGGAGATTCAATTAGTTTGCTATTATAAAGAAGACAATTGAGCAAGTTCACTTTTGTTTTGATGGTTTGGTGAACAAACAAGTCAAGGTGGAAATTTCTTATGAATATTTGTGATATTTGTATTCCTTCACGGCCACGGGATTTGTGGACAAGGTAGTTAATTCGTTTGCTTTTGTTTTGATGGCCTGATGGAAATATGGAATACAAGTCAAGGTGGAAATTTGTTGTAAGTGTCTTGTATTTCACTCATAGTAGGAAACTGGTTTGAACTTTGTTCTCTTTAGGAATTTAGAAAGGTGGATGTCTTGGAATTCCACTTCAAGTAAAAGATCAATCAGAAGCCCTATTATATTGAAGTTAAAGTATTTTGAATCTATAAATAGAGTATAGACCATTTAGTTTCTCTTGGGGATTTTGGCCCTCAATTTTGGACATCCACGTTTGGTTCTATTCTCTTGAATAGAGAATTTTGTATAATCTCCCTTTGTTGATAGTAAAATTTTGTCGCTGCGCTTCATCTGTGGACGTAGGATTTTGAGTTGATCTGTGTAAATTTATATTCTGTATTTTTCTATTTCATTCGGTTTGTTGATGTACTACCCAATGTTACCTGGATCGTGGGTTGCTTTGGTACGTGGTACGGGTACATAGTACGACACTTTCTTAGATATGCAATACGATGAGGGTAGATTTAGATGGTACAGTATTTTGGGTCGCAATTCGTTTTGGAAGTCTTATATAGATCGTTTTCACTAATATATAACATTATATATTACAGAACATTCATAAACACTAAGTTAGTTACCATTTATCTTATAGTGGTGTTTGATTTTCTATTATCTAAAACAATATATATTTATAAATATACATGTAGTTAATTAATATGTATTTTATATTTATGCTACATGTTTTAAAGTGAATTGATTTAAGATTAGTATTACAATTTGGGGTCGTCTATTTTGGTAATCTGGATCGCGAACCCATCTCGTTAGGATCGATGTACCCAGTTTGTAGGTCGTTAAGGGTTTAGTGAATTGTGATAACAATGCTACCCTTTGATGACACTAGCATCTGTATCCACTAACCTTCTAATGTTATATACCTTGAGTGAGTTTGCCACCAATCTACTCAAAATTGTTGCTGAGTACCATATCCTTAACAATTTCCATGGTAGGGCTTTGTTCACAAACATCAGTTTTACATTTTCTTTTATGGGCTTTATCAATAAACATGAATATACTCATCAGCTAATCTTGTAGATTGTGAAATGAAAACTTCAGTCAACAACACGATGCACGAGTCATCCCTTATAGCAGTAGAAGAAAATCTCTGTTTTTTCCGTTCTACTTGCAACCGAGGTGGGATCTTTCTTTCTTTCTTCCTGAGGTAACTGGATAAGTATCAGGGCTGGAATCTTGTGCAGACATTAATCAATTTATAGATAAATTGAAGGGGAACTAACTTCAATATCAGAAGTCTGGAACTACATTACCCCTTTCCCCCTTATAAAACCTCATAAGATACTTGACAATACAAGTGTCATTCATTCATGTGTTTGGATTTGGAATTTGGGTACTGCTAAAGAACCACCATCTATGGTATTTTTAGTATACTTAAATTCATGTATGCTAGGAATGTGAGATTACACCCCTTAGGTTGGAATTAGATCCCCTTTTCTCTTTGAAATTCTCATGCTTGTAGGAATGGGATTTCTACTTGCAACAGTGCATATCAAACATAGGAATTATACAAAAAATTGCAATGAGATTCTCATTGCTGCATTTGTATTTTATAATCCAAACTGGCTTAATGGTGATTCGATTCGAATATTCTTTACTAATGATGGAAAGTCTGTCCATTCTCATTTTGTGTATTTAGTATTGCTTTCTTTAGAAAGTTGAATAATAAGAAGGATCTCTTTTTGTGAGACCGAGGGAGTAAGCACTTTTGTGTGACTTTCATGAGGTTTCGTGTCAATTCCTTCTATTTTCACAGTTTGAGTTTATTTATCTGCTCATAATTTGAATGGTAATTTTAGGAATTTTTTTTTTACAATTTTAGCTACGGTTTTGGGCTTTGCAGGTTTATCTATTTATTTATTGGTCTTGGTGTAATGCTCTTCGTTGTATCCTGTTTTGGGTGCATTGGAACAGCAATGAAGAATGGATGCTGCCTGACTTGTGTATCCTACACTTCAATGGTTGTCACAGTGGTTGCTCTTATTTCCATATCACCAGGGTCATGATATCATGGCCTAAATATCTGTCGTTGGTTTTATTTACTTCATTTCTGTCAAGCATTCTCTACTGTTGGTTTTATGTGAGATGAAATCCTTCAAAATTATTAACTCGGATGCTTTGTGATATCATGAGCTTCTTTTCTGCCTCCTCTTCTCTGGTGATGATTGGATTCCTTAAAGCAATGCAGTATTCAGTATTGGTAATCTTATTGATCTTGGTGGAACTGGGATGTGCAGCTTTTATATTCTTTGACAAAAGCTGGAAAGACGTGAGTATTTTACAATAATGTTATGCACATTAAGATGGTATATTTGGTTATCGGATCAGTTGACATTTGCAGGATATTCCAACTGACAAAACTGGGGACTTTGATATGCTATATGAATTTCTGGATGATAACTGGGAAATTGTCAGATGGGTTGCTCTTGGGGCTGTTATTCTGGAGGTAAGCATAAGAGGAAATTCTAACGCCCGTGAGGACTTCTGATTATTTTTTTATTTATCTCAACAGAGTTACACCTGGTTTAAATTGAGAGCTACACTTTCCTCCATAAGTTTCTTGCCCAATCTATGGTTACTTATGGTATAAAGGATCATGTTTTAGTCTCTCTGTCAATATGAATAACACCTTTTACATTGTGATTGTGTCGTGGAAAACTGATTGGTATGGCGGGCATGTTGTTGATCTCGCACATTACTTGCATAACCTGATGTAATGCTGTCTGACCATGGGAATGAGCTCAAGCATCTATCTTTGTGGTTTGTTACCATAGAATAGTATCATTGATATGCCCTCTTGATTGAATTGGTTTATATGTTCTGGCTGCTGGGCTACTGCTCCGGAAGATTTGACTACAAATGTGCATCATATACCTTCTAGGTCTATGGAGGACTTACATTTTAGGATCATTTGTGCTGGCCTCTCATCAATGATATTTATTACGCTTTTTGCCTTTTACTATCCTGGTCAACTAAGGTCCATTCAAAGCATTGTCATCCATGTCCAATTGTCCAAACCTATATCTGGTTGCATTTTCTTTTTTCGTTTCTTTTCTCCTCTGTCTGTTTGTACCTGGTACTTGAGTTGTCTTGGGCTGTTGATTTCAAACTGACTAATTCATAGGCTTACATGTGATGATTAATTATTCTCTGAAGTCTCTGGACTTGTGTGTTATCATCTGATAATAAGACAAATCATATTTTTCATTGTCTCTGGACTTGTACCCATGGTGTTGTAGGTACCTCGTCTGTGAGCTTCTCTGTGTATCTTTTAGTTTTGGACTTAGTGATCCATATTGCTTACATGTGATGGCTGTTCTCTGAATCCTCCCCTACCCCATCACAATAAAGTATAAAAGCATAGTAGTAGGTGGAATTTTAATAATAACCAACCCCATCCATTGGAAAGAAAAAGGTAACACCGAATAGAGGAAAGAGTGAGATGGTTTTTGTTGTTCCCAAGTAGTGAAGACCATTTGCTTGACAAATGAAGTGGGTCAATGGTTGAGCTGTGTACAGAAAAAGCGTCTTAGCTCCTTGAATCAGTCAAAAAATCAGTAAGTCCATCAATTTGTAGTGGACTAGTCTCAGCAGGCCATAAAATAGTCTAGTAGCGGGTGAGGAGAGTCAGTGCTATGGTGGGCACCTTGGAACACAACGCGAAGTAGCTCCGCCAACATAGCTCGAGGTGCACACAATCAACTCAGGAGTAACTTTTGCTTGTCAGAAATATTAGAATCACCTTATTGCACAGAAGTGGTGGACCTTTAAACCTATGGTCAATTGAGACCTAAAAAAACAATGCTTAATTGAGTTGTTTGGTGCATTTTCCTTCCTTTTTTTTGTCTAATGTTTTTTGTTTTACTGATTGCCCTTGGAATTCCAGGCCCTGGTGTTCTTGTTAGCTCTTTTGGTAAGGGCTGCTAATAGGCCAGCAGAGTATGACAGTGATGATGAGTATATAGCTGGCCCAAGGCAACAAATTCAGCAGCCATTGATCAACAGCAGATCTGCAGTTCCAGCCGCAAGTGTACCTGTTGCTGGTACCCTTGATAATCGTCCCGGCAGAAATGATGCTTGGAGTACGCGAATGAGGGAAAAGGTGCAATCTGCCTCTATAAAATGTCTATCTAAGTAATATTCTGGTTGCTTTGTGCAGTAGTAGTCCATCGTCTTGAGGAATTTATTATAGCACGGGAGTTTTGATCAGTGACAGTTACATTGACTTTCCAAGAAGTTCTTAGCGAAACCAATTCTTTCTAATAACCAGGCTGTCTGATTTTGTATTGTTCAATATCTTATGGTTCATTCATAAACTAACTGCATGCTGCTAGATACTTGTATGCCATCGGGTGGCCATATAATTGATGGAGTACCAATTGGGTACCCCTGTTGATAGGATATATCATACCCAAGTGGTAACCATATTGTTTTATTGTATCTTCCAGTGTAGCTTGGATTTCTAACACTTGATGCTCTTTTGATTTTTTTCATTTCCTGTATATAAACCAGTATGGGCTTGATACTTCCAAGTTCACATACAACCAGCAAACTGCCACACAGCCAGCCGAGGAAAGGAGTCGGTGCACCATCATGTGATAATCTTCGTGGTTTTGCTCAAGTGTGAAATTGGGTCCAGTTCTGGAAACTGACTCTCTCATCAGCTGGTGTGAGAACTTTGTTGTATGGTCAGATTACAGTAGATCTGCGTTTCTGTTAAAAGAGTTTGTGTACAAAACACAATCTTCAGGAGCTTTACTTATTTTCTACTGCCCACTCTGATTTCTTCTTTGAAAGACATCTCTTCTTTTGGATGTATTACCATTTGGTGTCTAAAATTGTATCCCACGGTTGAGTTCGTTGTGGACTTGTGGATGGTGGTTGCGGTGGTTGGGATTTTGTACAACGAAAGAAAGAACCAGTGAGTTTGCTTAATCCTTACAGTAAAAGTTCAGCTGTAGGTTGTTAGTTCACTGTGTCTTATTCAAGTTGTGTCTTATGTTTTGCTAATGCTTATGCTTGTATTCTGATCAGTGGCTTGTGATTCATATAATAGCATAACTACATTTTGTGTAGTCAATGCTTGATAGTTGAGACGAGGTTCAATTGAGTTGAGTTATATTCCGTGCCTTGTTGCAGTATGAAACTTGTTGACGCGACCTGTTTATCACAAGTCGTCTTGATTAGAAAACATCGTTTGAGGGGATGTATGGCGTCGAAAATCCCAAATTGGAAAGGATTAAAAGGCAAACTATTAGTGGTTGATTGGGATTTGGAGAGGGTTTCGTGCTTTTTAGTTGCGGTCATATTCAACTTATAAGTGGAAGTGGCCTACTTGTATGTAGTTGTGCAATCTTTCATTCTCTCTTGTTCCTTTGTTCCCCTTCTGACCTTTTAACCTATGATGTCGAATTACAATGTGCGTCTTGTTAACAGTAGTAGTCATAAGAACGTACATGCATGTACACGAACTTAATGTAGATGCATGACTCATCGTGAACAATCGATCATATGCCGTAACTTTAGTCACACCGAGTTAAAAAATAAATATTTTTACTAATCGGGTTTGATGAGTTAACTTGTTTATCGCCCAAGTTAGTTGATATTGAATTTACATCGAGTTCTTTTCTGTGGATCTTACCACTCATGTTGAGGTTAAACTACCCAAATTTTTTTTTTTTTCGCATTTTTACCCAATAAATTATTTGTTAATTGAATGTTGAGGTGATAAATCGGTGTTAAGAAGTACCACTTGATTCCTCGTGATCCAACCTCTTGATAAATCTGACGTGTTTGTCACTGTTGCATTAAATATTTTCTCATTGATTGATTGGGTGTTGGGGGATTGTATGCCTGTCAAGACAAGAAACTGATTTGTTTAGTGAGTTATATATAATGGGTGACTCACCACTATGTTAAAAGGTTACAATTCTTCTCAACCAGCTTTGCCCTCTATATAATTATACCTATTTACACTTTAATATTCGGATGCATCCTCGATGTATAGAAAGCAAAGTTTGATTATGATACCCAAAAAAAAATTTCATACTGTACCACTTCACATGTTATTCCTGGAGTCAAATGTAAATCCAAGCTGTGTACCTTTGAATGAGTGGGGCATATGGTTGATAATCGAACCGACTTTTACGAGTTTGAGTCGAGCTCATTTTTTTAAACAAGTTTAAAAAATTATTAAAGCTCAATTCGTTTTAAAAACGAGTCGAATCTCACACAAGTTGAATTCGAATAGTTTGACTATTTTATATATAAACGGGTTGAGCTTTGCGAGCTTGATTTGAATCTTTTAGACTTATTTTTTAAATAGGTTTAAAAAATTGTTCAAGATTAATTTGAACATGAATTGAACTCGAGTCAGACTTTATTCAAACTAAACCCGAATATGTTAGTTCAATTATCACGTTCAAAAAAGTTTGTAGACCCCACAAATCCAAGGTTGCATAGTCATTTTGAAATCCCAAATATGAAATCTTGCTCTATTTCTTCAGATTCATTGGCCCTGGCAGAGACGTTCCTATTTTCGTCACTTGAGGAAGGTCGGTGAGTGGATTTCATTGTCAATGTTTTCTGCCTTGCGAACCTCCTCTTCCCTCTCTGTCTCTCTATATATATGGATTTGTGGTCCAGACATTTCAGAAAGTAACTGTGAATGAGGTTTATCTTCTCCATTATTTCTCTCCGTCTGTCTCTGTCTCTGCCTTTGCCCGGTATAACATTTTCGCCTAGGACTTCAAATTAGATTGGGCCGCCCCGCCCTTGTTACGACAAAAAAAACCCCTATACAAGAGCTGCAATGTGGCCGGTTTTGGTTCCGATTCTCTAAAAAAATTGGTATTTTCATTAGTTCTAAACTGGCTTCGAGCCTAGCAAATTTGAACATTCTTTTTGATACTCATCAGCTACTTCATCAGTTTCGTTTAGAGTTCTGTTAAGATCACCAATTTCAATGTTTAACTTCATTTGACTGGATCTAAAAGATGGTCATCTAGAGTTCTTCACTGGGAGAGGCTTATGTGAAGATTAGTTCATTTAATTTCATGTTATCATACAAACAGAAAAAATACAAAAAGTGTTTATTTTTAAATAAACGGGTTGATGTTGTAAATTTTGAGTTTAACTGATTGAACTGAATATGAGTTTTTTATATTTTTTGTTCACGTGTCAGGTCATTTTCAAGTTCGTATTCAGTTATAATCAAATTTGTGTCATAAAATTCATGTCAAATTCGAGTGGTGTTATCATGTTGAATCGAAAATTTTCACCCTTAGTTAAGATAGAAAAAATATTTTTTTTAAAATTTAAAATTTATTTTTAAAGAATATATATATATATATATATATATTAAAAGATATATAGACAAATCTCAACATAAATAATTAATTTTTATCCACTTTCCTTTTTATTTGGGAGAGATTAATTTTAGTGAGTTGAAAGAAAAATTAATCTATCCATTTTTAGTATCTTTCTTCCTTATTAAATATTATATTTTATTTATCCTTTTAATTTTTAATTTTTCTATTTTTCCATCGAACAGAGCATAACACTTATCCTCCAAGTACACACACCTCTTGCTAGCAGTAACCAGAATGGTCGTACCTGCCAACTAGGTGGTGGAATCCAGGGTGTCAATCAAAAAAAGTCAGTACTATGATATCACAAATCACCCAGATGCAGACTTGTATTAGATGCACAGCCGCAAGTAGTAAATGGGCTACTTACTATATGTTCTTGTGCCGACCAACGTTTACTGCTAAGAATAACGATCCCTCTCCCCTGTCTAAGTTGTGTCCTGTTTGTTCTCTCCCATGAAAGGTACAGCTATTGTACTGCACTTGTCCACGTGGGCAAATAAATAAAACCTTCTGTTGAATATAAACATGTCACGCAATGAATTACATTGTAAGGAACCCAAACTTTCTCACCACTTTCACCTTAGATTCTTTTTCTATATTCATGGCTCTGATAGAAAGTCACCTTCACAGGAACCTTGAAACAGAGGGTTTTACTGTTTCGAAAAAGTTGTAGTTCATCAACCTCAAACTCCATCTATGATGTGCTCTGGCCCCAACTTTGCATGGCATTTTCTTTTGATTAAACTTCATGGTCATTTTCATTACCCCTATGCTTCAAACTCTCTCTCTCTCTCTCTCTCTCTCTCTGTACTTCCACATTTATGTATTACCGTTCTACCAATAAGTCTACGGCTGTTCCAAAAATAATCCTGTTTTTTTTTTCTCAATACCACTTGACTTGGAACTTATATTTTAGTCTCATATCTTGATTTGTTTATTTGGGTCGTACAGTATTTATGGCTCTGTTAGCAAGTTGGGGTGGGGAGTTTGCAAATTTTAGATGTTGATGGTGTGATGTATTACATGAAATCTATTTGTTAGGCGGTTTGTTTCTGGCTAGTCCCAATCACTGTTAATGTTTTGGCTTATTCACTGTAGGCTTATCTTCTTACTTCATCTATAAAATTTGCCAAAGGGCTAACAGCTTAACTATAATTGGTGGGTCAAGTTTGATTTGGAACTATTATAAAATATTTGTACCGAGTTGATTATTTGATTGTTTCATCATGCTTTTGAAAAATTAGCATATGGGTTGATGTAATTTTTTATGTTTATCTATAACTTCTATCATGCATTACTTTTTTGTCAACAAATTCAACAATTCAAAATCAATCTAACTTGCATACGTTTTCTTGGTGCCAAAGATATATATTTTTTTATACAGTGGGTGTCAATGGCTTACGCACTACCCTGCTGGAAGTAATGGGTGATGCACCAGTTGATTTAGAACTATAGATTAGTTATAACTGAAAGTGATATTCAAGATATTCAAAGAGCTCTATTTTTTGGATCAATTGTGTTTCAATAATGTCATGCCGCTACATTTCCATGAGAAAAGGAGGGATCTGTGAGGACCATTGAGTATTTTTCTGCAAGTTGAGGTTATGGATGTCCATTAAGCTTGACCATTACTTTTTATGTCCTTTCTTTCTGGTCCTAGTACGAATCTTCTTCGCATTCGGCATCAACATACCTATCACCGCCACTCTATTCTGATGTCCTTAAAAACCTCTTAATTTATGAAACTCAAACAACACCGGCAATTATGCGTCTGTGTTTCTTGTTTGTATAACTAAGAACAACTCTTGCACGATTCGTCGTGTTCTTAAGCACCCACTCTGTATTTTTGACTTGGGACAATGAAGACTCGGAGAGCAAAGCGCTCTGAGGTATGCTTGAATGTTCTTTGGTACTTCTTTGGACATGTTTCATGTGATATTAAGGTTGGCGATGTGTCGTTTACAACTATTTGTGCAATTCGTTTGTTTACAGGCCTTTTGGCCATCCATTGTAATGAAAAAATGGCTAAATATTCAGCCAAAGATGTCTGATTTTAGCGAGGATGAAGTTGACACAGAGACTGAGAGCGAAGATGATGGTATGAATTCCGTAAATTCGCTATGAAAATTCATTTCTTCATGTTTCTGTGCTTGACAATTATGTGTCTTATCGCCCTCCAGCTTACTCTCTTAAAGATGAAAGAGTGCATGATGGTGAGGATCAGGTCTGTAGAGCCCAGTGGAACCAACGTGCATGCCCAACTCAAACTTCAGGCAGTACAAAATTTCTGTTTTAGTGATTTAGTCTTTGTCATAATGAAATGACGACTTTATTTATTGCAATATAACCTTTGAAACTACTGAAACATATAATTGGGTCTTTGCTAGTGCTTGAATCTTAGTATTGGCACCTACTTTTGCTTAGGAAATTTTTGCTTCAAAAAAGCTATATCTGCACAAAACTTTCAGCCATGTGTTGTTCTTTCTTAGTTTAGTACTTGTGAGCCTTGTTTGCACTTTTAGTCGATAGTTTAAGCTACATATTTCTTCAATACAGTGCATATTGACAAATTTTTTTGGTAACATAGTGATATTTTAGATGAAGCAAGGAACTTTTAATGTTTCTATGTTTCCACCAATCAGCTTGATAAAAAATTCAAAATACTTTCCTTTTAGTACCTTTTGTTGTATGATGACCTGATGAATCTCAAAGCTATAGCTGTTGACAATCCTCTTAATGCAGGGACACAGCTGAAAGGCTATTCGCTAAGACACAGGAGAGGAAAATCGGAAACCCTACGTGTTCAATACATAAAAGCAAAAGAAGTGAGGTTTGGCTCTAAAATATTCGTATTGGAATTCTGCCACGCTGGTAAGAAAACCCCAGTTACTCATGACTAGATTGTAATTCTTGTCCTCATGCAGGGTGACAATAGGCACTTGGAATGTTGCTGGAAGACTTCCTTATGGGGATATTGAGATCGAGGAGTGGGTTTCTATGGAAGTACCAGCAGATATTTATGTTCTTGGGTAAGTACTCTGTCAAATTGGTGATACCGCTCTGAGACTTACATGAGCACTACATCAGGAATTTTTTTCATTACAGGTGAAACAATTAGAGTTCTGAGATGCATGACTACTTACTTGATGTAGAGTCCATAATGCGTCCGGTATCCTCACCGCATATGCATGCCATCTTTTACTGATACGTATTGATTAGGCTGTAACTCAGCTGATTTTTCTTTCGATGGCTGTTGAATGCCGAGCAGGATTATTGTTGATGGCACATTAAGTATACTGAACATCTGAAAATGTCGAATAGAATTTCTCTGTAAATTACACAGAATAAGTTTTTTCAATCAAATAAGTATTATAGTACTATTTCTATTCAAATAAAACAGTTGAACAAGAAATACGGTAAACTTATACAAATCCATCATCAAGAATATGAAGCAAAGCATTTCAAATATACTCTTCCACTTAAGAAAGTAGAAAAAAAACTTTAGTGGCTGCAAGTAGCTTATGTTCAAGGCAACTCGCTCCTTCCAGGACCATGAAATTTCAAATCAACACCTTTTTAGCAGTGGTAGGATTACATGGAGTGATGATATAATGTTGTGCTTTAACGTCTGTGCGAGAGAGAGAGAGAGGATATTCTAATTCATTGCCTGTTACATTTGTTCAGGCTCTGGTCAGGAAATGAACGGGCGTGTTTCTGTGCAATTCATTCTCAATCAGTCCTCCCACTCCCAATCCAATAAAAAAGGAAAAATCTGAAGTAAAATACCTATTTGGTGGTGAAATTATGTGAGTGTGTGTATAGACATGGAAATAGTTCCATTCTGTCATGGAGATTGATATATTTTTTGGGTGGTTTCATGAAGGTATTACTATTTTTGGAGGAGAGATTAAACACCTAAATACAGAAGGTGGATGACAAATTGAATGTCTCATCATCAGTAAGATGAGAGATTTCATGTAGTAACCGAGAACTTCAAGACACATGTTTACACTATAACAAGACAAGTTGTAATAATTATTAGTTTACATGAAAATGGGGCTTGACGGAGTCCAGCTGGACTGGTATAGATAACAATGTCATTTGTGACACCCAAGGTACGACACTTGTGCGCGACACTTAATGGGTGCTACGCCCAAGCACAATACCTGCATCAGGGGCGAAATACATGTCCACTGCATTGGAAGTGGAAAAATGGATCTTTCAACAAGGTGGGACGAAAGTGAAATCGTAGAAGTGTGGGGGCAACCTCGGTGAGACTCGCCTCTCCCGCTCTGTGAATGGTATCCTCAACTTATTGAATATCGTTGCTCGATTGGCTCACTGGAGTAAGAGGTGTCCCCACTTAGGGATAAGGGAGTATGATCCCCCTCAAGGGAGAATTGAGCAATAGGGGCAGGTGAGCATGATTGCCAACCTTAGCCTGGGGACAGGGTCTCGATAGTTTAGTCTAAGCAGGCCTCCTAGTGTATGACTCACTACCCATTGAGATGTGCTTGATTGAGATCTAGAGAGACTCCTAAGATAACTGGAGTTATTGGCCTGGATCAACATATGAGATGATGCGACATGTGGATTAGTGGCTGAAAAACTAAAACTATGTGAGTTTCCTCTATTGGACACCTCGACAAGGGTCTCGAGGAAAGGTCTAGAGAGGGAAAGGACCCCGAGTAGGAGCGTGCTGGGGGTATCGCACATGGCACTCTCGAGGTCATGGTCCTACGGTGACCAGTCGCAGTCATGGATACAACCCATTGAGATGTGCTTGACTGGGATCTAGAGAGACTCCTAAGGTAATTGGAGTTATTGGCTCGGATCTACATATGGGATGATGTGACATGTAGATTGGTGGTTGAAAGATTAAAACTATGTGAGTTTTCTCTATTGGGCACCTCGACAAGCGTCTCGAGGAAGGGTTCAGAGAGAGAAAAGACCTCGGGTAAGAGCGTGTTGGGGGCATCGCGGACATGACCCTCTCGAGGTCATGGTCTTATAGTGACCAGTCACGGTCATGGACCTCTGGAGCCTTCTCTCGCCTTAGCTGTTACACCTTCTTCGGGGACACATTTAGGTTGCATTTGGGAAAATATCACATTTGTCTAGTTAATGTCGGGACGCATGGCTCGTGTTAATAGCCATTGGTATTGTCGCAGTCAAGGCGATTGTGGGTTCGCGCAGGTGATAAGGGATTGCGGCGGGCAGGTGATACCCGATGCCACCACCTTCGATTTTGCTAGCATATCCTCCAATGGCACTGTTGGAAGATAATGGTATATTACGGAAGTCAAGCCTTTATGGGTTAACTTTGCAAAATCCTACCGGTTACCACTTCCGTTGCAAATTGATACAACTAACCCCCTAGTTCCCTCGCAGCAAACTATCACAGGCAACCTTTTGGCATTTTTGCAACAAATGCTGCAACGGGATCTCTAACTCCCCTACAACAAGCAATTACAACGAGCCCTCAAATGTCACAACCCCTGAGGTATCCACTGTGGCTAAACCTGTAACCACGACTGGTGCACCTCTCGTAAACTTTCCAATGGCTCTTGAATGTGAGCACGCTGCGACTAGCTACAACTATGGCCTCGCAATTTCTAAAATAGCTCCTCTCACCATCTCTACAACAACACCGACAATAACCCAAGTGTGGGGTTAAACTTTTTTTGCCACTGTCCCCTCAACCATGCTTTCAGCATTTTCGGCCCGTGTCATCACCACCTCATTTCCATCAGCAACCGTTTGGACGCCATACTCGGCCAGCGCAGAATGGCCAGTGCCACGTGCTGGGTTTGTCACGTTGGCCCAAGTACAGGCCTTACTGGATAGACAAAAGTAGCCCATGCAAACAACCATGGACATAAAGTCCAAGTTTACCCCAACTGTGCAGTAAGTTATGTATCCTATAGGGTTACTCACTGTCGAAGTTCGATGGAAAAAATGGCAACCCCAAGGAGCACATTACCCATTATCTTGATAGCCTTGGCCCTTTGAATGAGGGAATTTTCCAAGTTCTTCAAGGCCAGGGCCTTCACCAGGTATGCTAACCTCCCGACAGAATCGATGGGGGATTGGGACAACTTAGTTGCACAATTTTACGCAAAGTTTTTCCATGTCGAGCAATGTACTACAATACTTTTCCTGACCAAGACTATTCAGGATGACAAAGAAGCCCTGATGACATACATTGACAAGTTCAGTGATAAAGCAATCGAGTGCCAAGAAAATGTCACCAAAGATGCCCTTGTCCGAATCTGCATCGAGGAAATGCACAACAAATACAAGGCATAATTGGTGAATAGTGACTTTAAAACCTTTACTGGGTTATGCGAATCTGCTCAAAGGCTTTCGGAGGTGGTCCAGCCCTCCTTGAAGATAGCAGGTTAGAAGGATAAGAGGAAAGAAGCAACTGTTGCAGTTGTTGAGGAGGTCCCGAAGGGGGGCCAGCGTCCAAAGAATCAAGGGAGAGTTTCCAAGCCTAAGGAGCCATCTTCGTATCCCTGTGGTATGAAGGAAGTCTGACAGATTCTCATGGAATGGATTAAGAATGATGATGTCGAGCTACCACTAATGAAAAATGAGCCAACTAGAGAAGAAAAAAATAGCCTAACTTTCTGTGAATTTCATCGCCACACCAAGCACAACCTTAAGGATTGCTGGATCGTACGACGACTATTTCAGAAGCGCTTAAAGAGTGGAGAGTTAGTACTGACGGGCACCGGGGGCAATGTCCATGGTCGACTACTCATAGACAACGAAGAAGGGAAGAAGGTGCACATGGTGTCGTTCTATGACAAAATCGAGGATGTAGTAGAAGGTAACTTCGAAGAGTGGCTTGAAATCCAGTTAAATCGAGAGACCTTAGAAGATTGTCACGATGTGCGAGAGATTAACCCTTACGCGAGTGCACGTATCTTGAAGGAAATAGTCAAGTTTAAAAATTTCTTTAATCAGTTGAGACTTATTGATGGTAGTAGACTGGCAACCACCAAGGCCATCATAGACTTGTGATCTGATGGGCCCTCAGGCCCCGAGAAGTGCATGATTGCAGAAGGCTTGGTGTCCCACAGTATCAAGGAAAGGTCTAATACCATCACCTTTACGGAGCGGGATCGCCAAGTACCCTGAAAGCACAATCACCTGCCCTACGTCACCACCATGATCAATGGTTAACAGTTGTAAAAGACTTTTTTGGACAATGGGGCCTCAGTCAATGTCATGCTTTTGTCTACATATGAGCATCTTGGACTTCACGAGTCAAGTTTTGTCAGAAAAATGACTATTATCGTTGAATTTTCTAGTGACAAGAGAAAAATCCTCGAGTATGTCAATGTTTCTTTGGTCAATGAGAAGGTGAGGATACCCACGACCTTCCATGTCTAGGAGCGGTCCTTTCTATATACCACCAATGCATGAAGATGATTTGAAATAGAAAAGAAGTAATGATACCCGTGACTGAGGACCCCTTTAGTAGCAATGAGGCACACTTGGCGGAGGAAACACTATACGATGAAGTGGCCGAAGATAACGAATTCGCCACGCTGCTACAGTAGCCCTTGTCCTTCCGTATCCCTCATTGGGAGGAGGTTTAGCGACATTGTGAAGGGTTAGTATGAAAGAAAGGCTTGAAGAACGGGCCTGAGAAAAAAGGCAAGTTGAAGAGCCCTCGCGGGAGGTGGTCCCAAAGAGATGTATCCATCGTGTCCTACCTGATGGGCGAGTCATTTACCAGTTATGATGGTGGTGGGGGACCACTCAAGAGGCCAGGAGGGTAAGTCCCTGAGACGAGGTTCATGAAGCACAGGCCAACATCACCGCGACGTCCACTAACACGGTCCCTAAGCCAGAATGCATGGAGGTTCACCCTAAGCCGCAGGAGCAGAAGCTTGAGGAAGTAAACCTCGCCCCACTTGGGGAATCACTGTTGCCAGTCTTCATCTATAAGGGGCTATCTCCAAAAAAGAGGCAAACGTTCTTGGCACTATTGATAGAATATACTAGTGTTTTTGCATGGAGATACGAGGAGATGCTCGGATTGGACCCAAGCCTAGTTTGCCACAAGTTAAACATCCACCCCTTAGACAAGTCTGT